TATTGTAAATTATTTGATTGTTCTTCCGTGTTAAATTCATCCTTTAGTTTGTTAAGGTCTAGAAACAAACCTAACACTTTAGCATGATTCTAAATGTTCTTTTTTTATTGTTACCTTATTCATTTTTCCTTTGTAGATGCCAAAAAATGTTTCATAAACCTTAGTTTAGGCTAATTGTGTCCGTTTAAATTCGGTAATTTAAAAATCTGTGAACTCTATTTTTTCTCAAATTGCATTAATATTATTTTTCCCTCTTCATTATAAAATTACTTCTCATTTATTTTACATTTTTTAAAGATAATTTCCTAATCGTATTCTATTCCGGCATAGATAAGGTAAATAGTGAATCATTATTGCTGGAGGATGAAAAACACTTCCTCCTTGAATGCAAAATTAACAAATAACTAAGGGAATCATAATCTATTTGAAAATTGTTTACCTTCTCATAATTTTATGTCTCTTACCCAAGAACAAAAAGTAAAAGAAATGCGTAACCCTTCTATCATGGAGTATATTGCTTTAAACCATTGTCGTGACGTCAGCCTATTCATTTACCGTGGATTCTTTTTCTAGAATCAACACTTCCTAAATCTGTCGATGAAATGGACTCACCAAATTATATTCAATTGTTTCCTTTGTGTGCCTTATTTCATTAAGTTTGAATTGGCTAATTTACTGATTTCTATTCACTAATGGAATTAATTTAAAAACTTACCTTTATTTTTGTAATTTCTATATGCCTACACTGGGAATCGAACGCGTCCTTAAAATCTGTTATGTGTGACTGTTATCAACATATCGACGAAACCTCTCGGCTACAAATGGGTTACAATTTAAATGTCTATTATATATATATATAAATGAACATATAATATACATTTGCACAAAGGACACACAGGGCTTGTACTTTTATTTATACATAAAAGGAAATCGTATTGTATAAGTTGGTAGCCGCGAGGTTAGCATGATTAAGATCAATGAGTTAAAGATAGGGACTTGTCGGTTTAGGTTCGAATCCCTGTATTCTCTTTGTTGTCCCTATTCTTTAGTTTTCCTGTTGTTTTTTTTTTTTTTTTTTTTTTTTTTGTGTGTTATTGTGGATATTTTTGTAACAATAACGAGTTTTACCGTTTATTTGTGGACTATTATTGGCTGTTTCACATATTAGAAAAGAAAATGATTACATTCTATTTGTCATTTTTTGTTTTATAAATGTAGTATGATTTCATCTGTTTTACTACTTAATTTTACAAATGTTTGTTAGCAAATTCCTATGCGAGAAAATCGTGATGTGCCTAAAATTAGGGCTTCTTGCTAGAAATTTCGGTAACATACTTATTATGTATACTTTATATATGCTCTTTGGTCGGGTTGTTTTCTCTTTGACACATTCCCCATTTCCATCCTCAATTTTACTAGATTGGTCTTATTTTATAAAAACCGATAATATTCAGATGCCTGATAATATAAAGATATTTAAATGTAGAAGCGTTGTGTTATATTTGTATTTTGTTAACGCATTAATTGTGATCTAAGATTTATCATTCAATGCATCGTTGGACATGATAACATGGTTATTTAAACTCACTTACAATACCTTCTAATTAAGAAAAGGCTTTAATTTTGAAAAAAAATTAACACAATAGTTTAAGTTGTAGATACAATGGATAAGCGTAGATTCATGAAAAACAAACCATTCGCCCTCCGGGCTCATGGTTTCTTTTTCAATAATCCACGCTTATCCATTGTATCTATATAACATATTATGTTTTTGTTGTTTTTTGTACACACTTATTATGTTTATATGACATTAAAGATATTAGCTATTAATGATGATACATGTACAAATTTATGCGTTAGTTTATTACAAATCTTATTTGTATGCAATTCATTCCTTTGTCAAACTTTTGCAATACAATATCTTTGTTCAACAGGTCTGAATAAATCATGGTTGAATACGTTATGTCTGTCAAACATGATCTTTCTTTTGCGTTATGTCTGTCAAATACGATTTTTTCTTTACCTGTAATTAAAACATTATTTTTAGAAATGTTCTTTTTATTTTGACGTAAGGAAATAATACATAACACTTAAACAAAAATAACTTGACCATTAATAAAAAAAGCCATTAACGACATAAACGAAGCTTTTAATGTTGACATGATGTATGCTATTCTGCTGATTAAGTAATTAAGCACAAAGATGATCTCCTCGAATGCCTATATTTTATAAAAAAAAGAAAAATAAACCTCGAATGCCAAAAAAATAAATTGAATATATGGTGTTTTAGTGAATGGGTGTTGGTTTAGATCAAAATATAATTATTAAGAAAAAGGTAAAAAAAAATTTACACCTTAAATATTTATTTTTTCTTTAATGAAAATGAAATTGAAATGGAATGAAAGAATAAGAAAAAAGGTATAAAACATTTTTTTAAAATAGAAAAAAATAGAATTGAAAATGAGATAAAATATCAGAACGGAGAGATTTCGAAAATTCAGTTCGCAGATTCTACCTCATACTTATTACACTTTGAATATATTTGACAATATGCAGTGTGCTTGTGATGTGGCTAATCATGCTGTACATTTTAAATATATTCGTGCTTTATTGAATTGAGTGACATGTGCTTTGATATTTACGTTATTTTCGTCTTTCTCTTTATATATAGCTATGTGCTTGTTTACATGATTGAATAAACATTATAGGTATCCCTGACCAGGGGAGGTATGCATAAAACATCTCAACTTAAGTGTTCCTTAAACTTAGATTTCACTAAGAATTCTCTTAGTTAAGCAAAATTCTTAAGTCATATGCACAAAACTACTTAAGTTGGCACTTAGCTCAGGTAATTTTAAGTATGAATGTTATCGGAACCTTTCTCTATTTACCGTATAAAATGTTAACTCAATGAATAAAGTCATGATTACAATTTGATGTTTTGAATATTACAATGCTTGACTGAACGACGCACGATTTCTTTGTGTGTTTTTGGTTGTATATAAGGTTGGGTGTGTTTGAATTCAAATTTACCTTTAATACATAATCATATAGAACATGTCAAAGCGAAAGCCAAATTCGACAGAGAGAGAAAAAAACATTTTGATGGAGGAATACGAGAAGAAGCGACATATTTTAAAGGCCAAATTCTCATCCATTCTGACTTCTGGAGATAAGACAAGAAAGAGCCTGGGAAGAAATAGCAAACGCAATAAATGCTGGAAATAGCATCAGAAGAAGTACAAAAGACATTCAAAAGAAATGGGACAATATTTGTGCGACAGCTAAAACTGAAGTTTCGGCGCACCGACGCAGTCAAAAACAATCAGGTATAAAAAAATATCTCAAATATCTATATGATTATTCAATAAATTTTGTTTGTATTTCTTGCAGTTGTACTTCGGACGTAAAGAGAAAAGAGTATAACTTGTAAATCCAATACCACGTAGAATGTACATGTATACTTTGCAGGATAGAAAATGATATAGACTTTCACATTTCAGACTCGCTACACAAACATGTACGTGTTCGCAATTTATCTAATGCTTTTATTTTTACGACCTTTTCTATTCTAAATACCGGGATTGATATAAGGAATAAAGTAGCTTTTCGTTTAAAGTCATGCATGTTTGTGAGTTATTTACACTTATACTTGGAAAACTGTTACCAGCAAAGATTTCCAATTGCATATATATAGAATATTGTTTTAACGTTGCATTTGAAATTCTAGAAATGGAAATTGTGTATATTATCTATATACAATTATGCATATTAATGCTATTGTTACATTTTTTTCTATGTTTGTAGGAGGAGGCCCGTGCTCAAACGACATTTCATCATTTTCCCAAAAAGTATGTGACATCCTTGGGGAGGACTCGCCAACTATCTCTGGAATAGAAGGAGGTGTAGACATCGACGAAATAGATCATGAAAGCGTTTCGAATGAGAACAAAAGACGGTATGAATATTTGCCTGACAGTGAAGATGAAGACATTCCATCCGTTTCTAAGAGACAAAGGTATGCCCTTTTTTTTGGTGGGGATATAAACATTACATTCATGAGAATTTCTTTTTACTTAACCACATTAAAATATGAACCCACTTAAATTGGATGTTTAAAAAAAAATGTCGTTTAACGTTTCTTCCTCTTCCCAATAAAATTGGCAAACAGCTTAGAAAGTGATGCCCTAAAAAAATGATTCAATGGAAAGAGTATAAGGCCTTTTTAATCAAATTATGATATTGTGAAAACGTATACATGTATAACCAAAAAGAAGAAAACTTTAAAAGTCTTTAAAAGAGGGAAAATAAGTTAAATCATTCAATGTTTTTTTTTTGTTCAACTGTAAATATACAAAAAAGGGGGGTCCATGCCCATGCCCATATCCATACATCGTATAGTTTTAACTTATTTTTAATTCTTAATGTGCCTGTCCCAAGTCAGGAGCATGTAGTTCAGTGGTTGTCGTTGGATCATGGCTGTCATATTTGTTTTTCGTAAAATGTTTTGTTATAAACCAAGCCGTTAGTTTTCTCAATTAAAGTACATATTTTTCAGGTCGAGGCCTTGTAAATCCGACACTATTGATTTTTTTTTCATTGTTAAAGCCATACACTAACAGTCGCCTTTAGTTGCTTACATCCACTTCATTTGAACTTTGGCTGTTAGATGTCTCATTGGAAATCATACTACATCTATTTATTCTTTTATGGGTTAATGGCGTACGTTAAATTGCAATGTCAGTCTATACAAACTTGTTTTTAAAGACACATTATAAAAATGGTGCTTATATTTGACAAACGGAAAACGACAGTCACTGATTTTGCATCAATGTGATTGCACAGTACACATAGTTAAAGATACAAAGTGTGAAACCGGACCGTAATAATCTTTAGTTTGATTGAATTTTTCAATATTGGTAGACACATTGATATCCACTTTTGTGATTTTGGCGTTTCAATTAATTATTTAACAGATAAAGACTTTCAAGGACTTACTTTCAAAAATGCAGCTCAGTAACACTTTTCCTGATATGGAAACCATTTCCAGCCATTCCATTTTCAACTTCTTCCATGTCATCATCCAGATCATCATCCAAATCATCTTCATTAAGGGGTATGTTGTTTTTCTTGGCTATGTTATGCAGCACTCCACACGAAATGATAACTTTGCATGTAATTACTGGAGAAAGCCTTATCTCACTATGCAGACTATGAAAGCGTCTCTTCCATTGACCTATTGTTCGTTCTACAGCACATCTTGTCACTTTATGTGATCTGTTGAAGCGAATTTCTTGTCTGGTTTGTGGATGAAGATATGGCGTCAACAAAAATGTTTTGCACGGATATCCACTGTCACCAAGTAAATAACCGTCATAATTGGATTGTTCGAGTTGCATAAATACTCTACTCTCTTTCAAAACTCTAGAGTCATGGGAACTCCCAGACCGTTTCGCTACAATGCTTATGAACTGCGAGTCTGCATTAACTATGACTTGGACATTAATTGAGTGGTAACCTTTCCCATTAACAAATTGCTCTTCATGCTGTGAAGGAGCAATAATCCTAACGTGTGTGCCGTCAATCAGTCCTAAAACATTGGGAAAATTAGCATCTGCGTAAAATTTAACTTTATTCTCCTCTATTACATGACCACTTGGAAATTTAATGAATTTAGGGGCTCTTCTGACTAATGCATTAGAAACTGAGTGAATCGTTCTAGAAACGGTTGAATGGTCAATATTGAAGGTATCAGCAATAATGTTTTGAAAGGACCCACTAGCATAAAATCTAAGTGCAATCAAAACCTTCATGACTGGAGGTATTGCATGGTTACGAAGTGTTGAACTCTCTAAATCTTCTTGTAACAAATCAGCAATCTGCAGAATAGTTTGCCTATCAAAACGAAATCTCTCTACTAATTCCAAATCATCGTACAGATCAAGCGGATTTGTTCTATCTCTAAAGACACGTTCCATTCTCATAGCCCTCCTTCCTGCTAACAACCGATACCGAGCGAAGTAAAACATATTGTATTTGAACAACCTAAAGTATGAGTTTATTTATATAGAAATACATGAACAAAGGGAATCAAAGAAAATACCTAAGCACGCATTCCATGGATGCCAAAATAGTGAACTCTATTCTCATTATTACCGGTATGTTGTTCCATCGGGGAAATCCGTAAAACAAAGACGGGATGAAATAACATATCTACCCTTGTATCCCCCCTTTTATGCGTGATGAATATATATTGGCAATATAAATATTTAATATCCTACAATTAATGATGTTGGGAGTAAATGGTAGCTAACCTAAAATATTTTTGACATACCACACACTTATAACTGATGTTAATCAAATTTCTTGAACTTTAAGGTACCTCCATAGGTGCCTTAGACTTAAGTAGGATCTTATGTGTTTTCTTAGTTTAAGGGGTTTTATGCATACCACTTAAGTATTGGGGGCGGGACTTAAACCAACTAAGATTTTACTAAGGAAATACTTAGTTTAAGATTGTTTATGCATACCACTTAGATAAAAAGGGCGGAGTTTCCTTAACTTAAGTGTTTACTAAGGAAAATCTTAACTTAAGTAGCTTTATGCATACGGGCCCTGATGTCTACATTTATATTGCATTTGAAATAAACAAATTATTTTTTAAAAGTTTGCATGGTAAAACACATGTTTTATACGTTTATATCACATGCATTAAAACCAGTTCATATAAAGAAGCTAGAATAATTTAAATAACAGAACGTTGCAAAACTGTAAAATATAGTTTTTTTACATGAAATTCAAGTTCACAAATGAAACTAAAATACTAGTATGCTATTGTTTTATCCCTTACCTTTAAATATAAAATTATTATAAAAGTTTGAGAATTTGTTTAACAGTTTAATAAACGGCATCATTTCCTTTAAAAACAAGGACCGTTTTTTTTTCTATTTTACATTTTGTATTTCTTGCAACAATATTTCTTAAAATAAACCACAATTAGATAATCGTTTACTTCTACAGTCACGATTATAATTCTGAGACAATTTTTAACGCATTTTTTATTTGAAAATGTGAAACCGTGATAAATATTAAAGTATATATGTCTGTTATCAGAGAGTATGATGAATAATAAAGTATCAATATAAACAAGTACTGTACACATAGAGATTGAGTATTAACAAATATGTTCACATAATGTTTTGATTTATTTTTTTTATTTTAGTGCACGATTTGATTTGATAAAGACAAAATCCAGTCAAAAATGGCGTTACCATAGACATTCTGTAGTAATTGAATACGAACATAAGATACCATCACCGCTGAACATTCCGTTTAGAGTTCTCATTATTCTCTTTTATGTTATGTGTTATCTTCCTTTTTATTTATGCAATGAGTGTACAGAGGAAAATATTCCAGGTAGTATTTTATTCTTTTTAACATTTCTTCTTTTAATAACTTCTCATATTTCATTTAATCTAAATATTGCGTAAATGCTGTCTTGTTAATTAAACCTTGTGAAAATTTTCAGTTGTATCGGTATTAATATTGTCTTTCATAGAATGGAAAGAAAAATAAATATATATATAGCTGTTCTATTTTGCTTTAGACGTTTGTGTTTCAATAATTTCAACAATGTTTTCCGATGGTAACCCGTTTATTAATTTTGGGTTTGAATAGCGGATTGGTGGGTTAAGGATGGGGCTTCAGTTGTATCCACGAATAATTCATGAACCATTCAATCCATGCTTTTAAAATTTAAAATTTTAAAGATATTGTTATTGATGCCGTTTTAATGCATACTTTACTTTATTGATTGATTAAATAATTGTGAACCGTTTAAACAATGCCTTTCAACTTTTAGTATGTTTGTTGTAGTCATAGAACGGAAGTAATAATCGATATTGACGATTTTTTATGTTTACCCTTCCGGAGTAATGGATTTTGAATGATTGGAAAATTATACTGTTAATCGTTTCCGTACAATAACTTGAGGGCAGTTTAACCAATAAGCTTTGATATGTTGTTAATAATGACAAAGTTATGTCTATTTTAATCTTGAATATTATCACTCTTGACTTCGTCGTGACCCGTGATTGATTAGAAAATGAACCGGTCAAAAACTGCTTTTCAAATTTTTAAATGTTGCTTCTGGTAATAAATTGAGGTGAGTTTTAATATTGACATGTAACAATATAACAAAAACCCGGTGTGCTGTAAGTCAGACGTGCGTGTCGTGTCGTCTTTAAAAGACTCATAAGATTATAGTCTATCTGTTAAAGGAACTATACAAGTTCTGTTTTTTTTTCAATATGCTAATGATAAATTCACTTAGATAAATGGATTTAGGGTGAAACAGTTAGTAAAAAAAAACCGATTGTTTTTTAGATCATGGTATTGAAGAAATGCTACAGCGTCAGCGAGAATTCGCTCGAGTCATATTAGAGGAGGAAAAGGACGAGGAACTCATTTAGTAACATGTAGAATAAGAATTTTTGAAAATTGTTTGTACGTCTTAGTTGTTCATTCGTTGAATTTAGCATTATTAGCATGTTTTACATTATACTACGCTTTTTTAAGTTATAAGAAGTAATTAGATATCATTATTGCAACTACATTTGATTAATAATTTTCAGTGGGCATCCTCTTAGTACCACTATATAAGCTACATTGACAAAAACTCTGGACGAACGAAACTTAAGACTCTTAGAGTAAACTATTTTTGGGGGGAGGGGACGATTTTTTTTCAGACCATACAACAATGTATATGTTTGGGAGAATTTTTATGTTGAAAGTATTTCATAAAAGAAGAACCTATGCAGTTTCTAGCTGAGATTGGTGTTTACAGTAAACGTGCAATACTAAAGATTTATATACTTATACACTATAATTGTATAAAAATTATATTCTTCGTAGTATATAAGCAATAACATTCAACGTATCAGAATTTCTGAATATTCTATAACTAGGATAATTTCGCTTTTGAAAAAATGCATACTACATACACTTGCAAAGAAACGAGAAAAAGTATAGATATGTAAATGGAAACGTTTACATTCCATAAAATGTAAAGCTGACAATGCGGTATGGACTTTGCTCATTGTTGGAGGCCGTACGGTGACCTAATATAGTTGTAAATGTCTGTGTCATTTGGTCTCTTTTGAAGAGTTGTCTCATTTGCAATCATACAACATCTTCATTTTTATATATACTATCTAAGTTTTAGTTATAATCAAGCATTTACCTGAAAAAGTAACAAGTTGAATGTGTTCCCACAAGTCATTTGAAGATTACGGCTGTCGTCGTTTTTCTTTTTTATGATGGTCTAAAACCACGTGTAACTGTTTTCATATTTTTCCATATCCGTAAATGACCCTTCGTTAGGGAGGGTTTATCATGTTTTGATTGATACATTTAGATATTATCTAATTCATTGTTAAGCCAGATCGTTTTTAATATCAAGTGATATCCTTTTCTCACTCGTTATGAAACCTATATTATAGCATGGTTGTTTTATCCTTTTTATAGATTACTATGGTATATTTATCAAGATTGGCATGCATAGTTTAACCTGTTTTAGGTCAATCTTTTATATTGCATAATGATGTTTACCAATTTTGTGTTGATGTCATCAATGTGCACAGACGTATACTTATTTTATTAAAAGAACATTGTTTACTTATGACAAGTGTGTTGTGGACCGCGAAAATCTTGCTAAATTTTAGAATACCCTAAATTAATTGATGTGATCGTGTCTGTTCAATAATTATTTACATTTGTGACTCTTTTCATCGATAAGAAAGCATATTACAATGGAGAGAGTATTTAGTCAATGGGTTGTTCTAGATCGAGAAAGGAAGGAAAAACTACATATAAACGCTTAAAGAGCGAAGATAACAACACCAATATTAAAATAAGGAAACATTAAATGTTAGTATCATTAAATATTTCGGATAACAGATATCCTTCATCAGTATGATATTGGTGTAAAATGAATCATATCAATCTTTTCTGATTTAACTATTACAATCTTTAAATTTAAACAATTAAAACCGAACAACGCTTGTACCATTTCAAAATTTCAAAAATGACTTAGGTTAGGTATTTACAACAGAGACTGCATAGATATGCCTCTAACAGAAATAGTGATGTGAGATATGACCTTGAACATTACTAAAATTTCACAGGTGACGAAAGTTCAGTTATTACAACAAAGACTGTGTAGATGTTCCGGACCATATGAGTATTTTGATCATACAACAGTCTCCGGGACAAGTTCGCACTTCCGCTGAGTGCAAAAGTTGTCACCTTAATTTTTGGAGTTAAGTCAAAATGAAGTTGATAACTTGGTTGGTATTGATTCCCTGATATTTGTCCTAAAAAATTTTGGCTCTAGCACCACTGTTGAAAAAGTTATGCCCCTTTTTTCAACAATTTCCTCAGAGGAAAAGTAGTTTTCCTCAAGGGAAATCAAATTTCCCTAAAGGAAAAAGATTTTTCCTTAAGGGAAATTGTATTTTCCTCAAGGAAAAAAGATTTCCCTTAGGGAATTTGCTGCATTAATATTTCCTTTGAGGAAATTCTATTTCCTGTGAGGAAATTCTATTTCCTGTGAGGAAATTTGCGGCTTCAAATTTTCCTTTGAGGAAATTTTATTTCCTCTGAGGAAATTTGAGGCTTCAAATTTTCCTCTGAGGAAATTTGCAGCTTCAAATTTTCCTTGGAGGAAATACTTTTTCCTGTGAGGAAATTTTGTCAACTGCAATTTCCTTTGAGGAAATATTTAACAAACACTTTTCCTTGAGGGAAAATTCAATACCACAAATTTCCTCTAAGGAAAACATTGTTCTCCAAATTTCCTCTAAGGAAATTTCTGTACATCAACTTTCCCTGTAGGAAATGCTTTCCCCTATTTTTACTCATTGTAAATTTCTTCACTATACAAACAGTATGAACATAATGTTTACAAGACTTAATAAATGATACAAATGATATTTAAACTTTAATAAATTTTTGACTCAAAATTATCATG